CCACCCAGGAGATGATTTGTGATTGTAAGTGATATCCACCTTCTTAAGAGTCCATTACTCTACCCAATGATCCTGGATATTTCCATTCAGACTTCACCCTCCATTTTCTAGGGAAGTTGGCTCAGACAATGGCTTGGCTTCAGCTCTAGATTATCCTGGAGGAAATTAATTATCTGATCTGTTTCAATTCAGCTTTAGGCATATATTGGAGGGGAGTTATTTCTTAGCTTTAGTATCTTCTAGAATTATATTCTGCATTGTTGCAGCCTCATTAGAATTAATACATAGATGACAAACTGAATTACAGTTATAAGTAAAGAACTTCTGTTTGAGGTATCTTTATAAACTAAGAATTTATGGTATATATACTTAAGTATGGTTTCCACCAAAGTTAATAAATAAAGTTTATGTTATAAAGTGGTAAAATCACTATTACTGAAGCTGTCTCATTTACAAAATCTTGTTTTCAGATGAAACTCACTATTTATGTATCAAACTAGGGAATGCTTTGAAATGTATTTCTTCTGAAAGGAAAATAAATAAACTATACAGATCATAAATATGTTTTGATATATCAACTTTTTTGCTAGGGTACTGAGGAAGCCCTCCCACACCAAGACCAATCCTTATCTGCTCAACAAACTGCTGTTGTTAACTTGACTGGAGTAGGGAAATTTATCCAACCTCAGGCAGCAGGTACATGTATTCAAGAACCAGTTTTATGGAGTGTTCTTGTGCAAATTCATTTTTTAAATTGTTTCCTATGGTACTATGGGAGTATTCTAGCAGTAAATATACAACTCTGAACACATATGCCCTTATATGAGCCTTTTTAATCAAATACTGTGTTGTTCTATATATACACTTTATTAAAATACTTAAGAATTATGTAAATGAGTACATTTGTTTAATCTATGAACAAACAAAAGTCAGACTTCCAGGTTTAATATTTTCACTGGTTTCTTATAGAACCAATCAGAACCAAACAAGGGCTGGAAAGGAACTTGGAAGTGTTTTAGTTCAGCTGCTTGCCCATGGCAGGAGACCTTACATCGTCCTGAACAAATGGTTGTACCCAATCCTTTCTTAAAAACTTCCAGTGAAGATGCACCCATAACTTTGGGATGCAAGCTGTTCCATTGGCTAATTATTCCGTCTGGAAGTTTATCCTTAGTTCCAGGTTGGATTTCTCTATAACTATCTTTCACTCATTACTTCTTGTCCTGCTCTCATGTGTTTTGGAAAATAAGGTGACCCCATCTTCTCTGCAACAACCCCTCAGGTATTAGTTGTCATGTCACCCCTAATTCTTGTCTTTATTAGGCTAGGCATACCTAGTTCCCCTAACCATTCCTTATACACTTTATCCTGCAGATCCCTTTTTATCTTAGTTGCTCTTCTTTGTATTCTTACTAGGGTCTCAGCATTTTTATATTGAGATGATCAAAACTGTATGCAGTATTCCAAGCATGGCCCCACCAGTGCAGTATAAAGCGGCATTATCATTTCTTGTGATTTTAGTGCTATCCCTCAGATTATGTAGCCCAGGACTGCATTGTGTTTTTGGCAGCTGCAGTACACTGCTAGTTTATATTTAAATTGTGGTCTGCTAGGACAATTATATCCCTCTCATAGTCATTACTGCCTATTCTATACCTATGCATTTGACTTTTCCTGCCTAGGTGCAGGACCTCACTTTTCTCACCACTGAACTGCACCTTGTCAGCTAGGGCTCAAGTCTATCAAGATCCTTCTGAATCTTGAGTCTGTCCTCCAAAGTATTAGCAATTCCCCGCAACTTGGTGTCATCTGCAAATATGATGACCTTTCCAATCCCCTCATCTAGATCATTATAAAGATGTTGAAGAGCACTGGTCCCAAAACAGAACCTTGAAGTAGTCCACAGCATACTTCCCTCCATGTAGATGCAGTTTCATTGAGGACTACATGTTGAACGTATGCATATACGTTCCATATATGAAAACTATGTAGTTTAGAGATTTAAATTACCAATAATTAAAAAATAGAAGATTGTAGAATGAATAAGGATCTATCTTCTGTCAAATGGGTAAATCATGTATAAAAGAAGTAACATCTCTGAATTAAGTACTTTTAAAAAAAAATACTATTTTGTAGTTTGGGGGACTGAGAAGGGACTGCTAATCTGCCAACTGCTAATCAGTCTGATGATGGTACCATCTATCATTTTATCAAGCACGCTGGAACCTATTTTGTCAAATGCCTTATTGAAGTCCAGGTCAACTATCTACAGCATTTCCTTTATCCATTACTTTAGTCACTTTACCAAAGAAAGCAATAAGAGTTGTCTTATAATGTTGTCTAACATTATCTTTTCCAGGATTTTCCTGGATATTGATGTCAATCTGACTGACCTGTAGTTTCCACTTCTCCCTTTTTTTGTATGTTGGAACTACACCAGCATTTTTTCCAATCCTTTGACAGTTCCTGCATGCTCCAGGAGCTATGAAAGTTTTTGTTCAGTGATTCTGAGATCATATCTGCCAGCTCTTCCAGGATCCTGAGTTGTAAACCATCAGGTCCTGACAATTTGAACATATCAAAAGTGGATATATGTTTGCTTATCAATTTCTTGCTTATTTTGATCTGCATTCCTGTTCTGTCTGGCATGGTGCTGCTTTTGGCAGTTTGGATTATTTTTTTTCCTTTTGTGTGAAGACAAAGGCAGTGAATGTATTAAGTTTTGTTTTTTTTCCTGTTGCCCATCGCCTTCTTGCCATCTTCTCCCATTAATGGACTGATCATTTCCTTGACTTTCTTCCTATCTTTTATCTATTGAAAGAAATCTTTGTTATTTTTGGCATTTGTTGCAAGCCTTAGTTCATTTTGAGCCTTAGCTTTCCTAACTCTTGTCTGTATAGATTTGGACTATTTGCTCGTATTCTGCTTTGGTTGTATCCTGTTTTCCATTTTTTATACTTGTCCTTTTTCTCTCTCAGTTTGTCAGAGAGATCTTTATGCAACCATGCTGGTTTTGTTTCTTGTTTTTGTTTCTTTGTGGTTCTGCATTAATTACTTTTATGATCTTATTTTTCAGAGTTTCCCAACATCTTGAATTGTTTTTCCCTTTAGGGTTTCAATCCATCCAATCTTTTTCTTAGTTTATTGAAATCAGCTCTCTTAAAGTGTAAAATATTAGTTTGACTTGGTTCAATTAGCTGTGCCTGTATTATATTAAATTCTAGTATGACATAATCACTCTCCCCCAAGGTTCCTATAACTTCTACCCCTTCTAACATTTCATTCCTATTGGTAAGAAGTCCAGAATAGTGCAGCCTCTAGTTCCCTCCTCTACCTTTTGGGTAACAAAGTTGTAGGTATGTCAGGAAGCTATTTTGATCTCCAATTTGCTGCAGGGTAAAGAAAGTCCCCCATTACTACCCTGGCATGTTTCTTGCATACCTTAACCAACTGATTAGTAAAAAGTGGGTTCATTATTACTGATAATTGTTTGCTTCTTTCTGTGTTCAGTTTGGATACAGATCTTGCATTTACTAGGAATCTTCATCTTCTTGGTTGAATCTCAGTTCCTCATTTTCTTGATTGAGATGCAGAGTGACTGGTCTTGTCTCTAGGCACTTTAACTTTTTTTCTACTAGTAATCTAATTATCCCAAAGGTGCTTTTTCAAGTGGCAACTGGATTTTGTTTTCTTTGAAGACATTTCGCTTCTCATCCAAGAGGCTTCTTCAGCTCTGACTGGATGATAGGAAATGGAAGGATTTATATCCCTTGCAGACAGCTGGTCATTTGCATTCTTTTATAGAGTTGTTGAGGCCACAGAAATTTAGATGTCGTATCCCTGTTCAACACCCACTCTCAACAGAATGTTGCTCAGTTTATGGTATATGCAGTGTAATGCAGTGAGACATGTGTACATTGGTGAAACAAAAGAACCACTTCGTAAATGCATGCACACTATAGAACAAACCCATCAGGAAGATTCAGCAGTCCATCTGTATTTAAAAGCAAAGGTCACTTTTTTTAAGACAGTAAAATGCACATTTTGGACATAAGATCACTGGTTTGAAAGTGGGGTCAAAGAGGCCATTTATGTCAACATTGAAAAGCCCTCCCTCAACAGAGGGGGGAAGGATCTGATACCATCTATCTCCAGTCTACAACATAATCCTTTCAGCAGTTCCAAGAAGGCTCCACACCCATTTGCACTACTCAGGTGACCCTGATGACCCAGATAAACCTCCAAGTGGCCTTAACGACTCTCTAAAAGAACGCAAATGACCAGCTGTCTGCAAGGAGTAGAAATCCTTCAATTCCCCACCATCCAGTCAGAGCTGAAGAAGCTTCTTGGATGAGAAGTGAAATGTCTTCAAAGAAAAACAAGAAAATCTCGTTGCCTCTTGAAAAAGCACCTTTGGGACAATCATGACCTCAATGACTGAGAATCTCCATAGACAGTAATCAAATTAGTTTACATTTGATGTAGGTATAGTTTAGGTCTTCTATGGGTATGGATACATTATGTGGCCCATAGTTTGCAAATCACTGGTGCTAATCTGTTTCCATTACTATGTTATTCTTGCAAAAAAAAAAAATCAAACACAGATGAGCCATGTGCTTAAGCAAGTACTTAAGTAGAATTACTATGACAAAGACAAAATAGTCTGGTTGAAATATACCTTGATATTCATATCATTTAATAACTAAGTAAACTATTTCAGCTAATCATTACACAGAAAATCCAGGCATTCTCTGTATTATGGTTTTTAATAGTGCATTGTTTATTTCATTCTTTTGGAGATAAAAATGAAATAAAAAAACATTTTTTTCTTTTTTTCTTGGCAACCATTACAGTTCTTTCCCCATCAAATGGTTATGGCGGTAGCAGCATAAGCAGCTCTACTACATCATCATCTAGGTACCCAGTCAAAAAGTAAAAAGGGGAAAAAAAGCTTCATTGGTATCAGAATCCTGAAACTTGCATTTGAGAGATATGTATGTATTCTATACCATCTTTTTTAAAAAATGTTTTTTCCATGAAACTGAATTTGTAGCTACACTGAGACATAACAATCAACTGAAATTTGTAAGAAAACTACACTGTTTTAAGATGAAATTATTCATCTGGAAATGTTATACAAATTTCAAGATGAAATGATATTGTGAAATAATGGAACTTCACAAATGTAGTATGTTTATTGAGGAAATGGTTTTGTGATCAAATAGTAAATACACCTCTTACTAATTATACATTTTTGATTACTTTATCCATCAGTTTCTGTACTTCTTTATGTCGTGCCTTTGCCCGACTGATACAGTCTTGAAGCTTTGCTTCTGTTATTGTGCTTCCACCTTAAAAAGAAACAAAAAACAAGGGTAACAATGTATTTAATACTGTCCAAGCTTTTGAATTGCCCATTAAATTACATCCATTTATTTGTGATTAACAAAATGTTTTTGTTAGAATTAACTTCAACAAGACATTCTCATGATTGAAAAAAATCCCTTTTTATGACTCTGTAATCCCTTAATTTGGTGTAGAGTCAGGGCGACTGGATGGAGCTGAGTAAACACTAGCCAAATGCATTTCCTGATGCCACGCACGGTTTGAGTTTTTTCTTTGTACCTCAGGAGAAAAACATCTGCCGCTACCTAGGATTGAACTCTTAACCTTCCGAATGGGAGGCATCTTTACCACTAGGCCACCATGGCCACTCATTTTTCATAATTGAAACATATGCCATAATTTCTGTAGTGCAGAGATGGAAAATGTAGTATCACAGATACTCCTGAATGGCATCTACAAAATTAAAACTAAATGAAAAATTGGGGGAAATATTAATTCTTAATAATTTAGTGTTAGTACCTGGTTTATGAACAGAACACAGTTTGTCATCTTCGATAGTCACAATAGTTAAAGTCCCAGATGCCAAGTCTTCTTCTTCTGCAGTTGGGTCAACTACAACTAGTGTGCTGTTGAAGATATATACACATATGTGCCAACTTTTCTGATATTATTTTAATCCATAACAATTATATATATTTACTGTTCAATTAGACAATATTGTGCATGTAAGCAGCATCATTAAAAAGCACCATTAGATTCCTTTGTTCATTTATGTACTTTCCAGACCACCTGGATTATTATTGCTGGCATAAGCATCAATGCTGAAGCCATTTTCAATTTAATTTAAAGACTTCTAAACAAATTAATTTAAAAGTTATATTGTTATCTTTAGGCAATAAGGATTTTTCAACCTTTGAGTGAAAAATAACTAAACTGATCCTCTCAGAAAAATAGCTGGAAGTTTATCAGAGTAACTACTATCTTATCCATATTCAGTATTCTACATGGACCATTTTCATATATATAAATTTCTTCTGTTCATCAGTGAGAGAGATTTCATTTTAAATGCCTGCATATAGTATTTTTTTCCCATTTCTTCTTCTCCATTTCCATCATTTATAAATGCTTTAATAACATTCAGAAAACGTTCCTGAATTGAAGACCAGAAGAGGATCCAAATGGATCTTGACAGACTTGAACAATAGACTCTGTCCAACAAAATGAAATTTAATGTGGTGAAAAACAAGGTTTTACACTTAGGCAAGAAAAAACAAAGATACAAGTACAGATTAGGCCAGGGGTCTGCAACCTTAAACACTCAAAGAGCCACTTGGGCCTGTTTCCCACAGAAAACAAAACACTGGGAGCCACAAAACATGGGTGGGCGTGGCCAACTCAACATTACTCACTCCCATCCAGTCACATGCCCCCCCAGCCACACCTACCCAAGTTTTGTGGCTCCCCGTGTTTTCTAGGGGAAATAGGTATCTCCCTCTCTCTGTCTCTGTCCCTCTCTCATATCTCTCTCCCTCCCTCCCTTCCTCCCTCCCAGTCCCCATCTCCACTTGCCAACCCACACACCCAGGGAATAACTGTAAGGAAATGCGACCACATTCTCTCTATCTCTGGAAACATACAAAAATAAACCTTGCATTGCAAAAGGAGTGACTGTCAGGCTGTAGATCACTGCTCGCACTTCAGAGAAGCATCATCCCAAGCATCAGCACATGCACACATATGCATCCTGCAACTCGGTGCAAAGTGGCCAGAAAATATAATCCCTGGGCGCCCCCGAAGATGCTTGGCAGCAAAGTATAGGGACAAAATCTCTCCCACCCCAAGGTAGTGTCTGCTGAATCCTTGCAAAACTCGGCAAGGCGGACAGAGGAGAGCAGACAAAGCTGAATCTGTCTCCCTCTCTGTCTCTCTCACTGCCTGAATGACGGGAAATGGCAGGCAGCTACTTCTGGCTTTGTGGGTGCTGGACACGCGACCTCCTCTCTGGAGAGAGAGAGGGAGGGAGGGAGAGAGAGATGAGGGAGAGGGAGGGATGAGAGGGAGAGAGAGAGAGATGAGAGGCACAGGGTTGCATTGTGTTGTAATGAGCTCCAGGAGTGGGTCCAGGATTCCCCCATGGTGAAGCGTGCTTTCACTGTGCTGCACAAAGAGGGATTGGGTCTCCCTCCCCATCCACCATCCACCCATGCCAAAGAAAAGCCAGCTGGGCTCCTTCCCTCCCACCATTCCCCCGTCCCCCTAGTTGGTGCTAGGGCATTCCTTTCAATTTGTATTGCCTGTTTAGTGTCTGCTTACTCTCTTAGAATGTAAATGCAAAGATTAACCGCTTTCTTGCTAATTATCCTAGCACCAGGGTGCATGCTCCAAAGAGTGGGGAAAAAGAAAAGCTAAAGTAACATTGTAAGCAGTAAGCGGTTGTATGATTTTTTTCATTTGGCGACCGCATCACTTGATGACTGAATTGCTGATCCCAACTATAGTTGCTAAATGAGGAATACCTAGATAGCAGAAACAACGTTCATGGATTTTTAAGTGAACTTCCCTCTGCTCACACCATGTTCTTTTGGAGTGCTAGAGGGCTCCCAAAGGAAGAGGTGGTCAAGTATCCTTTGCTAGTATAGTTGCTTATAAATCTGGGGTTATCTGATAACATGGTATCGTCTATCACCTAGACATACACTTTTTGACCTTCACTTACTCAAACAACACAAATGATGTTGCCACTGGTTGCTTTTTAATAGTCAAAGGATTCTTCTCTTTCAAATTAACTTCCATCAAACCAGTTTCTGCATTTATTGCAACAACAGGCAAAAGCACTGAAATAATAAAGGATATGGAAAAAGTAAGACTGGAAAATTGTTTCATACAGTACATTTTTATAAAAAATAATAATAGAGGCATCCTCAAATAAACACAACAGAGTGACGGAAATGTAATAAGTAGCTTTTGATTTAAAAATATTCAGAACAAGTAAATCCTTCTGGTGAATTGCGTCCTTTCTAACAACAAAATTTAAAAAGAAGTATTTGGCCATTTGGGAAAATGATTGTAGCAGTGGTGGGCCTTAGTAGCTATCAATAACGCTATCTTTTTATCCTAGACCTGATTCATATCTCATCTAATTTATGTGGATAAGCTGGTATTTTTGTTAAACCCTGGTTGCCATTTCAATTGCTCTTTTCCTTCAATCCAATTTAGTGTTAAATCTGCACTGCATTTAAATGTTAAAGTAAATCTCAAAGTATATGAACACAACTTACCATTTTTCAGAGCTGCTAAGAAAGCACACATGCAGGCATCAAGAAGGTTTCCATCATAGTCTAAGCATATAACGTCACAATATAGAACCCATACAATCTAAAGAAATAAGACCTGCTGATGTAAATACTGGAAAAGCTTTCACATGCATAAAAAATAACTTCGAAATAATTATCTAAGTGAGCATCTTATTTCACATCACATTGTTTGAAATCTGCTATCAGTAAGACAGAAATGATTTGCTCATTCCAGCAGAATAACAGAAAGGGAAAAACAGGGTCAATTTATTTTTTAGTTTAACATTTTTATTGAGTTATAAAATATAATAAGAAACAAAATATAAAAGTAAGTAGGAAAATGGTGGGGAGGAAGAGGGGGAAGAAAAGTGAGGAAAGAGAAGAAAAAAAAAAAGAAAAGAAACATTCTGATTTTCTGTTGCAATAAAATAAGGCATTAACATCAAATCACAACTTTTTGTTTTTTTAATAATAAAACAGGGTCAATTTAATAATGGCCAATTTATACATGTACCATATTTTTCGGAGTATAAGTCACACTTTTTCCACCCCCAAAAGTGGGTCTGTGCGTCTTATACAGCAAATGTTGCCAAAGCCCCGCCCACCCACCAGCCCCCAGCCTTCGGCCTCTGCCTCCCAGCCATTTGTCTCCTTGCAGCAAACAGCCTGGTCAGCTTCAGCCCTAATTAGCACAAGTAGCTGATCAGCTGTTTCAGGCTGCAGGGATTGCCTATTGCCGCCTCCACACGTCCCATTTTTGGACTCTGCATCCCATTTTTGCCCTCTGCACGCCCCATTTTTGGGCCTCCACACCCGCCCCATTTTCCACCTGTTCTGATCCTCACTGCCCGGAATGGGCGGAAAACGGGGCATGCAGAGGCTGAAAATGGGATGTGAAGGCCAAAAAAGGGGTGCGTGGAGGTGGCAATAGGCGATGGCAATCCTTGCAGCCTGAAACTACTGATCGTACCGACAATCAGCTGCTTGTGCTAATCAGGGTGTGCTGAAGCTGACCAGGCTGTTTGCTGCAAGGAGGCAAATTGCTGGGACGCAGAGGCAGATTTTTTTCTTGTTTTCCTCCCCAAAAGCTAGCTGCGTCTTATACTTCAGAGCATCTTATACTCTGGAAAATAAGATACATACTGGAGCATAACTATGCTAGAACAGCTCAATATTACCAAATCATACAAGGAGCGGGAGGGAGGGAGGGAGAGAGGGAAGGAAGGAAGGTTGGTTTTTAAAATATTGTTGTTCATTAAGACCTCAATTATCATCTGATTAAAACTAAATATGGTGTGCCCAAAAATGACTCTGGGCCAATTTGGGCACAGAATATTCTGGCACATATTGAGCAAATGTGTAGTTTGCAGTTGTTGCACTGATGGTTCTAGACTTGTGCATTTCATATATATGTTGTGCTTCCACAGTGCACCTTACTTTACATACTGGACAACTCCCTATGAATGAGGCCATGCTAGGTACAGCAATTTTGTTTTTGTAACATTTCTTCTGCCCTCCATGTGTTTTCCAGCAGAGTTTCTCAAAACTGCTTGAATATGGAATCGTCTAGTTTAAGGATGACATAATATGTCATCAGGTCTGTGCTCAGTTTGAACTCGCATTTCAGAAATAAATAGAGCAGTGGCAGACTTGCTCTAAAAAGAACTCAGTATCTGGTATTTCATCTAGCCAACTGATGTCTAATATTCTGCAAACACTAGTCATGTAGTTAAACATGATTTAAATGGTTAAACATAGTTTAAATGGTTGAACTATTTTGCTTGCCTTTAATACACAGACCACATTTCACAGGCATACCAAAGGGCAGTGAGCACTAAAGGTCTGTAGACATTCAATTTTAATGTTGCACTAATTCCTTGATGTTCCCATACAATGGAACACAATCTATGAAACAAAACGTGCCTTTGTTGTTCTGTAGTTGATTTCTACCATATGTTTCAGAGTATAAGACGCACTCCCCCCCAAAAAAGTGGGTGGAAATATCTGTGCATCTTATACAGCAAATGTTGCCGAAGCCCCGCCCATTTGCCAGACCCCACCCTTCAGCCTCTGCCTCCCAGTAATTTGCTTCCTTGCAGCAAACAGCCTGGTCAGCTTCAGCACAGCCTGATTAGCATAAGCAGCTGATTGTGGGTTGGATCAGCCTCCCAACAATCAGCTGTTTCAGGCTACAGGGATTGCCATCTCCTATTGCCGCCTCCGCACGTCCCATTTTCAGCCTCCGCACACCCCATTTTTGACCCATTCCAGGCGGCGGGGATCAGAACAGGCGGAAAATGGGGTGCATGGATGCTGAAAACAGGGCACGCAGAAGCCAAAAATGGGATGCAATGGGGCACATGGAGGCAGCAATAGGTGATGGCAATCCCTGCAGCCTGAAACAGCTAATCGTCAGGACACCGATCCAACCAACAATCAGCTGCTTGTGCTACTCAGGCTGTGCTAAAGCTGACCGAGTGTTTGCTATTTGCTGCAAAGAGGCAAATTGCTGGGAGGCAGAGGCAGTTTTTCCCCCCTTGTTTTCCTCCCCAAAAGCTAGGTGTGTCTTATACTTCGGAGTGTCTTATTCTCAGAAAAATACAGTATATCAATGGTCACTATGTGGGAGAGGACACTGTCAATATAATTGAAATGGGATAGTTTTGTGTATGGTGCATGACACAGTCTTTTGAATATTTTGTATTTACATTTATTAACAGGTACTGCTTGACTTACAACCACAATTGAACCCAAATTTTTGTTGCTAAGCAAGACAGATAAGTGAATTTTGTCCTATTTTACAATCTTTCTTGCCACAGTTAAGTGAATCACTGCAGTTGGTAATAACACGGCTATAAAGTGAATCTGGCTTCCCCACTGACTTTGCTTGTCAGAGGGTTGCAAAAAATGATTGTATGTCATAAATATGAACTAGTTGCCAAGCATCTAAATTTTGATCACGTAAACATGGGGATGCTGCAACAGTTAATTGTGAACAATTGTCATAAGTCATTTTTTTCAGTTCAGTTGTAATTTTGAATGGACACTAAATGAATGTCAAATGCCGGGGAAATCAGACAATTCAGGCAGTTCAAATTAGTACAAAGATTTATTGCAAACTTAAGCTCTCTACAAGAATCTGACTAACTAGCAGTCAAGCAAAATGAGCAGGAGATAAGAGAGGCATTCAAAGTGGGCTTCGTGACTTATGACATATTTTACCTTTCCCTTGGGCTCAGCCTGGTCATCTCCTACAATGAATGGTTGTAAGTCAAAGACTATCTGTATTAGATTTGTGTATTAGATCTTGTCTAGAGACAACTCTGGGCAGCTTACAAACATTAAAAACAGGTAAACATTAAAATGATAGAAAAAAAAATAGATAATAGCTTAAAATCACCTCAGTTTGAGTGTCTTCCCATCCTTTCTATAATTAAGGCTGATTTCATCATTCAGCATGACAATTAACATGCTGAACAGTGTGGTTGCAAGTACACAACCCTGTTTAAAACAATTGGTGACTGGAATATCTTAGAGGAGGGATGTCAAACTCATGGTCCGCAGGCCGAATGCATCACATGCTGGCCACGCCCACCTCCAGTTTAGCGAAGGGGAGGGAAGTCATGATACGTCACATGACGCCACAAACTTGACGCCCCTGTCTTAGAGGATTCTACACCTCTACCCATGATGGAACTGGCCCATCATCTGAATAAATTTGGCAGGGCAGCTGAGCTTTGACATGATCTTCCACAGGCCTTGTTGATTGTCAGTATCGAAGGCTTAGGTGTGGAGTCAATAAAGTGTTGTATAGAGTTCACAATTCTGCTCCTGACATTTCTCCTGAAGTTAGTGTGCTGCAAAAATGTCAATAGAATCTTGATCCATGTAAGCCACTCTTGCAGCAAGCCCAGCTCCAGATGAGCCACCAGAAGATTTAGCAGACCTCTTGCAAGGACTTTTCCTGCAATACACAGCAGCAAAATTATTCGGTAGTTGTTGCATACTTGCTGACTGCCCTTCTTGTAGGCGTATATAATGGATGCATCATTCCTGAGTAATGGATCCTTGCTTCCATAAAGACTGCAACAGTGATTTTTTCTAAAAGTACAGGGCTACCAACTTCGTATATCACAGCAGGTATGGTGCCTGCCCCTGGGCCTTTGTCATGTTGCTTGCTGAGTAGAGAGCCCTAGCATCTTCAGTCACAGTTTCTGTGACTTAAACTACTATTAGTATGTCATCCATGACATTGGGGAATCCTGTCTATTGCCACATGATTAATAGATGGTCAGTTGAGGATGCCTTCAAAACATTCAGCATGGAGATGCTCCTAGTAGGCGAATGGAGGTTCTGTGTTTTGTAAAAGGACAAAGGTACTTTTTCAAGACACAACTGAACTTTCTGGTTTTTCTTTGAAGATGTTTTGCTTCTCATCTAAGAAGCTTCTCCAGCTCTGAGGACATAGTGGCTGAAAGGCAGCTGGATGTGAGATCCAGACTGCTGATAATTCTCTCTAAAATAAAGACAGATCTTTATGAATTGACAGCAGAGAAAAGGGAGGAGTGGGGCTTTGCGTCGTTATCAGTCACAGGGAACAGAGCTCTCTGTTCCTGTGCTGGCCTTTCCCTGTTTGTGGGCTCCGAAAGGAGGAAAAGCCACCTTGTAGGGGTGGCAAAGCTAAGAAGGAGCGCTCTGAGAGGTCGCAGGAGAGATTGCAACTCCCCTGCTGAACTCTGGGGCTTTTTTCTTCTAGGCAAGGAGAAGAGGCAGTCTAAAGATGGCTGCCACAAAGCTGGGACAATTGACGACCATCTAAGCACAGTGCAGGAGCAGACTTTGGTGAACAGTGTGTGAACTGGGGGAGAGGATATTTTCAGTTAAAATTTGACCCCAAAGAAATTCAGGGGAACTATCTACTTAGAATGATTTGTTAAATGGCAAACAAGCATTTTGAAAAGTGATTAAACCAGAAGGAGAAGATTTAAAGAAAGAGGAAAAAATATTCTTTAAAAATACAAAAAATTGGACTCTGAAAGTGAGAAGATGTGGTATTTAGAAGGCATTTTAAAATGCTGGAAG